ACGTTCCCCATGGAAAACAAAATTTCAGAAAATTTATCGAATTAGTCCATTCTCAAAATAACTCTCATCGTTTTTTATTACTCGAATATCACCTCCTCCTCCATTTACCAATGGACAAAGCAATTAACAATATCCATGTAACCATTTATTTAACGTAAAGGATATCTTGAAATCTAGTTTCACAAATATAATTATTATTCATAGCTATAATAATAATAAAATGTTTTTTGAGAATTCAAAATTTAAGAATAAAATTTGTTTAATTAGAATTCCAATTTAAAGAATAATTAAAAACTAAATTAAAAAAATTATTAAATATATGTACACATAATACATATTATATTTATACACATGTAATATATCAAATATTAATATTTTCTTGTTTACTTGAACCAGCCATCACAAATTTCCCCTACAATTTCACAACTCACCACCACCTTTCCCCAATCACAAATCAGGCCCTCAAACAATACAATACCCTAACCATCTCCCATTCCTCTTCATCCATGAAACATCTGAAACCCTCAACAAGAAGAAACCAACAGCAGAGTTTTTCCACGTTCTATCATTACCCAAAGTGTTCATTCCACAAAGACATCCACTTCCCCTTCTCAAAGACACGAGGGACTAAGGGGTATGCGGTTTACGGGGGGTCCTCTCGCGCTTATGGTCAACGCGCTTGCTATAATAAAACTATTCCTTGCTGCAACTCGCAAGGCGCAGAGGCAAGTGTGCTAGAAGGAATGGAAACAGAGAAGGCGGATCCCACGGGATATAAATGCCGGCAGGGTGTTTCTTTGGACCGTGGCCGGCTTCGTAGATTCAATCACGACCCTTCCTATACCGACCGACCTCACACGGCTCGAATACCAAACAGACCTTTCGTCTATGGTATTAGAGCGTCCCGGCGTCTTTGATCGTGACACGAATTCTCTTCAGAATTCACCTTTCTTCGGTTCTACGCTCCCTACGTACCGGTAACACGCCTGCTTCTAACCTATATAGTCTACTGGTGAGGAGTGGGGATAGCGTTTCAAGCAAAACTTGATGAAAGACGCCATTATGGTCGACAACTAGCAGCAAGAAACGATAACGCAATAATCGTAAAGAGATAGTAGTAGAATGGGAGAGTGTATTGAAGATATAAAATTAAGTTACGGCCAGCTATTCAGGATTAACGATTTCGCCGCAATCTTTATTCGATGGTATTTTTAGAATTATTTATCCTGAGCCTCGTTCCCGCGTTTTCGCTTTAGTGTTTGATCTCTTGCCGCGGCGACAGAGGGAGCCATATGGATCTTCGACAAATCAAAGAAGATATTAACTATGAAAATGTAGCTTTGAACTATTCCGAAAATAAATTTTCAATATCTGTTTGCATTGTAATTTTTAATTCAGTTCCATGATAATATTTTTTTGATTTTATATCGATTCTGAATTGATTTTGAAATCAATTCTTTGTATCGATTTTTCTGTAATTGATATTATTATTTAGTACCAATTAGTGTGTGTGTGTGTGTGTGTGTGTGTGTGTGTGTTTATTAANAA